ATCAATATTAGCACAAAAACAGTACTATATAACATTTCAGACACATTCTAGACAGTTTATCAGCTAAAAAAATGTTAATTTTGGGGTAAGTTACTCTAACTTCAGCTCTCTTGGTGTTCGCTCTATGTTAGCATTAGATCGTTGTTAACATTAGCGTTAACAGTAGCTCTSCGCCACAATGACCTGTATAAGTATTGTTTTTCACAGTTTTTCTGATGATTAATTTCACACAATACGACTGTGCCCAAGCCTAGCTTCCCTTTTGTTTTTGAACATGAAAAATAAAACGTTTCAGGTAAAATTTCCATTTTTCTTCCTTTCAGGAGCGACCAGCTGAACGTGGGCGACTACATCCGCGCCGTTAACGGCATCAACCTGGCCAAGTTCAGACACGACGAGATCATCAGCCTGCTGAAGAACGTCGGGGAGCGGGTCGTGCTGGAAGTGGAGTACGAGCTGCCGCCCGTCTGTAAGTTCTGCCAGCGGTCAGGAAACACCTGTGCAAAAGTCTTAATCCACCTCTAGTTCACTTTCAAGCAGCCAGACTTGATCAAAAATGTTCCAGATTAACCGTTCTTCACCAAAAGACGATTATTTCCTGGATTGTTTTTTGTTGATAAAGTGACGTTGATTGTTGTTTCCTGGTCTCTGGCAGCTGTTCAGGGGTCGGGGGTGGTCTTCAAGAATGTGGAGGTAACGCTTCACAAAGAAGGAAACAGCTTCGGCTTCGTCATCAGAGGTCAGAGGAGCTTTGTTAACACGTTGAGTTTTAAAAATAAACAACAACAAACACGTGACGTGTCCCTGCAGGTGGAGCCCACGAGGACAGGAACAAGACCCGACCTATTGTCATAACCACCATCAGGCCAGGCGGGCCGGCCGACAGGTACCCACCCCCATTTCCTGTTTGCTCTTCTTCTTCTTCTGTCCAAACTCAGCTGCTGTGTCTGTGCAGAGAAGGAACGGTGAAGCCGGGGGACCGGCTGCTGAGCATCGACGGGATCCGGCTCCACGGCAGCACGCTAWCGGAGGCCATGAGCATCCTGAAGCAGTGCGGACAGGAAGCCACGCTGCTCATCGAGTACGACGTATCAGTCATGGGTCGGTTTGATTCTTCTGTTGTGTGTGAAGGCCCGCGGAGCTCCGAACAGAACCGTGAAAATTAAATCTCTGTTCTCGTAGACTCTGTTGCAACGGCGTCGGGGCCGCTGCTGGTGGAGGTCGCCAAGCCGACGGGCTCCAGTCTGGGCGTGGCTCTGTCCACCTCCATGTTCTGCAGCAAGCAGGTCATCATCATCGACAAGATCAAACCCGCCAGCATCGCCGACCGGTACCAGAATCCAGACTTTGTTTATACTTCATGTAATCATTAAATAATCCACAAACATCAGCAGTATGTCTGATTGTGTGTGTTTGTGTGTGTTGTGTGCAGGTGTGGTGCTCTTCATGCAGGAGATCACATCCTGTCTGTTGATGGGAAGTCCATGGAGTTCTGTTCTCTGGCTGAAGCCACACAGCTGCTCTCAGCTTCCTGTCAGACCGTCCGCATGGAGATTCTACCACAACACCAGGCCCGACCGGCCCTGAACGCACCGCAGCATGGTACTAACACACTAACACAACAAACCCTGAACGCACCGCAGCATGGTACTAACACTAACACAACAGACCCTGAACGCACCGCAGCATGGTACCAACACTAACACAACAG